AGGCACCATTTCATTCGAGATCATGTTCTCAAAGGTGATGTCGAAATTGAGTTTGTTGAAACACACAACCAATTAGCCGACATTTTCACAAAACCTTTAGAGAAAGAGTCGTTCTTCCGCATTCGTAGCGAACTCGGAATCCTTGACTCCACGATGATCTAATTTGTGCATTTTATCATTCTTTTATTGTTACTGGAACATTTACTAACTTGAGCGTCGGAGGGTTTTCTAACTCTTTTTTGCAGGGACGGTTCGAAGTGAAGAATTCTGGAAATCAGGAGGAACCAGCGATGGGTAGGCCATACCATCGCTGGGAGGGAAGTGTTATTTTTTTCCAGAACCCCTCTTCCCATCGATGGGTGCTTCTTCCCATCGATGGGTAATTGACTCTATTTTTTTAAAAAATACTTAACGGATTTCCAGAACACCCTAACCCATCGATGGGTATTTTATCCCATCGCTGGGTGAAGAACTCTTTTCGGACATCTTCTCGCTGGGTGTCTGACACTTTTTTAAAAAACATCTTTTCGGATTTCCAGTAGCCACCCTCCCATCGATGGGTGAGTTTGAACATCGATGGGAAGGCAGCCTTGTTTTATTCTCGCTTTCCAGTAGCGACCCTCCCATCGATGGGAACTTCCTTACCATCGATGGGAAGGCAGTTGAAATTCAAAAATTATGGCCGTTGGGCACCGAATTTAATGCCCAACAGCCATATTTTTTGAATTCACACGGTTTAAGCTTCCTATCCCTATATATTCACATCATCTCTCACATTTTTAACACACAATTCACAACACTTTCTCATTCCTTTAGCAAATTTCACTCTTTCCATCACTTTTTCGTAAAAAACGCTATCATGGCCGGAGGAAAGTCCAAAAGCAAGGCATCCAAGAAGAAGTCCGCCGCCGAGGCCACAAGCTCTGCGCCTCAACCCTTCCCGTACCTGGACGAATCCTTCTTGGAGTTCGGGTCGGAAGAAGAACTCACACGCTTCATCACCTACTTCGCCAAACGCCCGATCTCTCCGCCTCGCGTGCTCCCGGAGCTGTACCCTCAACAAAAGGGGTACCACGACCTCGACAATCAACTCAAAGAGTCGGGTCTGTGGCCGTTCGTCTCCAGAAGCCGTCAATCCTTCAATCCCGCCTATGTTCGGGCCTTCTACTCCAATCTCCGCCGGGACGGGGACACCATCCGGAGCAGCATCAATCTCTATGACATAGAGTTTG